ACGACGCCCCAGGAGGACTTCAAGAAGCTCTCAAGAGACATCCGAAAAGACTCTAACATGCATCCAAGAGGCCTCTGGTCACCTTGCTCGCCCTCCCCCTCCTCCCTCATCATCGTCCTCCTCGGCCTGTTAATCCTCCTCCGCCTGTTCCTCCTCCTCCTCCTCCCTGCTCCCTGCTTCCCCCTCCCGCTCCCCCTCCTTAACCTCCCCCTCCTTCCTTGCCTCCTTCCTCCTCCTCCTCCTCCTCCTCCTCCTCCTCCTCCTCCTCCTCCTCCTCCTCCTCCTCCTCCTCCTCATCATCATCATCATCATCATCATCATCATCATTATCCGATTCCTCCTCCATCCCCCCCTCTGGGGGTATGACGGCTTCTGTTGCCCGCTATTACACTGCGTGCTCCTCCAAATCCTTGATCAGGGCAACTCGCCTATGCATCGTGTCGCGAAGAGTCTAGCATTTCGAAACCGAATCGGATCGAGCCAGCCGGAATCCGTATCGAATCGGATCTACATAGGGCCTGTAGAAGCGGGCAAACCTCGCTTCTCCTGACCCCTTCCCTGGCCCACTGACGAAATCGGCCGTGGTCCTTCGCGATGTACTCCAGCCACGTGGTGCCAGACTTCGGCTCGCCTTGCGGAGGCGAGTCGTAACAGGCGCCAGAGTCTGGGCGGCAGCCCTTCTCCCAATCAGGCAAGGGGCTGTCTAGAACAGGGGGCACGACACAAATAAGCACAACATTTGCAAACATCTTCGGTCCATTTTTTCCGATGGCGCCGCACCCCGGCCCGCAGGGCGCTGCCCGCGACATGCTTCGTGTGCCATGGAGGGGTGCGGGGAGGGGTTCCAGAGCCCGCGGACGGACCCTCCGCGGACGGCCGAAAACCTGCTCCGACATAGCTGGACGGGGCCAGGCCTCTGAAAGGCGTGCCCCCCGACCCTGCTGAGGTGGCACTCGGACTCCCCAGACCTCGAAGGTCGTGATTTTGCCTGTGCGCGGCCCCCGTAGTTACACGTCGGTCGGAAGAAGTGGGTAAAAACACGAAGTAGGAAGGCGGATCAAGTAGATTGGGTTCAGGCCCTCCCAGAGAACAACAAATCACGGCAGAAGCATATCGATTCTTGAAGCAGGAAGGCGCGCGCTTGAAGTAGATTGGGATCTGGGAATCCAGAAATACCTACTTTCAACGACCGGCGTGTATCTCTCGATCCCCTTCCCCGAAGACCGGCCTTTTATCCTAAACCCGTGCGCCCGGATGCCAAAACTGAAGAAAAACACGCCCGCAGTGAACAAAAATCACGACGCCAGAGGCGTGGGCTCTCCTGCTCTCCTTCATTCGACTTCGCGCTTTTTTCCATGCGGTTACCCCGTCCTTAGTTTCCTTCGGCCGCGTCCCTCCTCCCTCCTCCTCCGCTTGCACCACACGGTGACACAATGCGCTTCAACGGCATCCCCGTGCAAGGCTCTCGTCGCCAGCGCAGTCACCCTCTGCCCAGCCGACGACGCAAGCAGTGTTTTTTCTCCATACGGGGCCCCTGGGTCTCCCTATGACCATCGTCGGGATCGCTCCTAGCCTACCAAAACAGTGAAGGTGGAGGAGTGGGGAAGGAACGTAAGAAAGACCCCAAACAAAGAGCGGAAAGGAGAGGAGGACCAGGGTGAGAATAAAGAAAACGTTGAGATTGAGAAGGGGGACGCCCAGAGACAGAGGACGACGAGGAGGAGGAGGGAGAGGAGAAAGGGAAAGGGATCGGGAGACCGTCTCCCGATCCCTTTTTCCCAGGGCTCGTTTGTCGTCCCGCATGTTGCCTTTTGGTGGTCGCGGGGGGCCTGGGAGCGGCCTGCAGGGGCGCAGCACCGTGACGAACGTGCCGCCTTGACTTTTTTCCAGACGCCCGTAGCTCGGAGCCGCACCTCAGAATCGACCACCGGACCCCTCCCGGTGCGCCTTCCGGCAGCGAGCCCTCGGGGCCCTAGGACACACAAATAAATACACACAAATAAAAGGATCCCCCATATTTTCCAATATTTTTAGGATGTTCGTCTTCCCCAAAAACTTCCCATATTTTCCCATATCTTCTGGGGGATCGACGATTGATTGCGTTTGTGTTTGTTCCCTCCTGAAGAAGGGGAGGAGGACCGCCTTGCGCAACGGCCCAGATCCCTCGCCCGGGCCCTTGTGTTGAACTGGCTGGCCCGCTCCAGAACCCATCTCGAATTGAACTGTCGCCGCGGCGCGGTCCTCCGACCGAATCTGTTCGGAGCTCATTTAGGATGTCCCCCTCCATGGAGGACGGCTGGGCTGCGATTCATGGGGGGGCAACAACTGGGGGCAGCGAGGGCTGCAGAAAAGGGGCCGTTCAGGGCCCCTCAAGGGCTACTTTCGGGCCCAGATAGGGGCCTGCAGGCCCCGAAGAGGGCACCTCTCCTTCACCTCCCCATTGAGCGCCCACCATCAAGCGACGCCCAAAACGGACGCGACCCCAGGCGTCCAGCGGATCGAGCGAATCGAGACGGCCGGTCCGTCGTCCTTCTGGGCCTCTGCCCCAGACGGGCGCGACCCCAGACGTCCGGCGGAGCGAGCGCGTCGAGGCCGCCCGTCCTTCGTGCTTCTGGGCCTCAAGAGGCCAGTGCCGGGCCCCCCTGGGGATCCCAAAGCCGTGCGGTGTCAGCAGAGCGTGCGGTAACGTCGAAATCCCGAAGGACCCCTCCTCGTCCTCCCTCCTCATCATCCTTTTCCTCCCCTTCCTCCTCCCTCCTCCTCCTCCAACCTCCTCCTTCCCCTCCTCCTCCTCCTCCGCCTCCTCCTCCTCCGCCTCCTCCTCCTCTTCCTTCTCCTCCTCCTCCTCCCAGTCCTAACCCTCGTCCTACTTCTCGTCCTCCTCGTCCTCGCCCTCATCCTCCTCTGCCTCGTCCTCGCCCTCCTCCTCGTCCTCTTCCCTCTCCTCCTCCTCCTCCTCCTCCTCCTCCTCCTCCTCCTCCTCCCCGCCTCCTCCCCTCCTCTCCTACTCCCTACTCCCCGCCCCGCCCCCCCCCTCTTCTCCTCCCTCCTCCTCCCTTCTCCTCGTACCGCCGCCACACGGTCTTAGAGGGAGATCTTGTTCAGCTTCCCCCGCCTCCCTCCCGCCTGCCGCCGGCCGCGCCACCCTCGGTCTACCTCCACGCGCCTTCTGCCACCGTCCCCTCTCCTCCGACGACGCACCTGTGTCGCGACGCGGGCCCTGGGGGATCGCGAGCTTTTCCTGGGGACCCGCTGCTCATCCCGAGTGGCTTCTTGACGGTCCCGGGGCCAGACGGCCTCGGGAAACCGAAGACGTAGAACAGCCTGCCGTCGCGATGTTTTTTGCGGCGCCCAGATCGGGGGATCCGCCGAGGGCGAGCTGCTGACCTTCCGAACCCTCGAGGGCAAAACCCCTGGTCCTGGAGCGCCCTGGAGCCGTGATTGAATACCTGCCCACTGGACCCGCGACATGCGGCCCGCGGAGGGGCGATGCAGGTTGTGCGGCGCCGGCCGATGTACAGTCAACCCGTATCATAAGGATGCGCGGTAAGGATGCAAGGGCCTTGGCGGGCCAAGTTGACGTGACGGCTTGGGGAAGCCGAAGATGCAAAACAAGCCTGCTGTTGCGATGTTTTTCTCGCGGCGTCCGGGGATCCGCCGAGGGCGAGGTGCTGACTTTCCGATCCCCCCCCCCTTGCAGAGGAGAGGAGGAGGAGGAGGAGGAGGAGGAGGAGAAGGAGGAGGAGCAGGAGGAGAAGGAGGAGGCGGGGGGAGGGGGGCCAGGGAAGCGCGTATTTGCAGCTCCCTCGTGGGCGCCCTGGGCCGGGGAAGTGTGTATTTGCATTCCCCCCTAGCTGGGCATGCCGACCTCGGTTCTGGATTGGCAAAGTCGGGGCACCCTCGAGGTGGCGAGCGTTTACCTTTTCGAAATACACAGGTCAAGGTGTGATCTGTGAACACAGTTTGTGTCTTCAACTGTATTTTCGTGTGTGGGCCAACTGTTTACACAGATCGTGGTGTGATCTGTGTACACAGATCTCGTTCCCATCTGTGTATATGGAGTGTGCCCCTCGCGGCTAGTGTTGATTGGGCGGGGTCTTTGACATTTCTCTTTCGGCTGGTCCAGGGGGGGCGTCGTGCGCGGTCGAAATACACAGCTCGTGTCTCCAACTGTGCATATGTTGCGCGCCGCTCGCTGGAAATGGTCACTGCGCGGGATTTTCCGCGGGTCACCCGGCTGGTCCAGCAGGGAGCCGTGGTCTGGGAATGCAAAGGCGCGGGGGGTAGGGATGGTGGGCTATGGGAAGGAAGGGGTTCGAGAGCAGGGGTGGCCAAATGGCCAGGGATGAACGGGACTGGACGAGAGGGGAGGAAATTGGCCGAGGAGGAGCTGTATCATCGGTGTCAGCATCACGAGGACGAGGGAGGCGGGGGGGGCAGAAGGAGGGGGCATGGTCTGCACTAGGGCGTAGAGGATGGGAGGAGAGCAGGCAAGTGGACGATGGGGGAACTCATCCGGCGGAGGAGGACGACGAGGAACGATATGAGTTGGCACAGGGGGGGGTGACAATGTGGATGAGGGGCATGCTGAGGACTGGGGGTGCTCGGAGGGGCATGAGGAGGGTGGCCAAAGCGAAGGGATATTGGGAGGGGACGGGGGATAAGGCGTGAGTTTGAGGTGGGCGCCAACTGACGAGTAGCTGAACAGTCTCTGGTTGTCCGTGCACCCCCCAGAACACAGTGACCCGTTGCAGAACTGCATGATGTGGGCAATCGTGCGCCCCGTGCTTCCAGGCCAATGGCTCGAGTCCACGACGACCCTTGGCGTCGCGTTGATGCCGCCCCGATTTGCCAGACCGCATGTGCACACATAGGCATAATCTGTGCTTCAACGTTTGCTTCATGACCCTCTCTGTAGTAACAGACCCGCGCTGGACCCCGCCCCGCTGCGAGCGCCTCCGCCCCGGAGGGTCTGCGGGCCAGCGCGGCAGCGGCGGCGGGAGGGCGCCCTGAGAGGGCGCCCCGAGGGACTGCCCCTCGTGGCCCGCCCAGGTCCGAGCGGGCGGAGAGGTGGCCAGGCAGACCCCCAGCCTGCGGCGACCGTGGGGCGGCGGGGCGGGCCGCGCAGGCCAGGCGGGCAGGGGCGGCACGACCGTCCCCCCGCCTGACCCTCTCCCCCGCCCCCCCCTTCCCCAGCCCCCAGCCCGCAGCGGCTGCGGGGGCAGCAGTGCGGGCAGGGCGGGCCAGGCAACAGGCGGGGCGGCCCACAAGCCCCAGGCGGGTGACGGCGGCAAGGTCGGCCCCCTGCCCAAACCCCCTTTTTCGTTTCCCCCCCCCCGCGCCCAACCTTCGAGGGTTGTCGCGCGGTGGGGCGGCCGACTGGGCAGGGCAGGTGGGGCGGTCCGCAAGCCCTAGGAGGGTGGCGACGGGCACGGAGGGTCACCAGAGCAAGTTACCAGGCATACGCCTATCCTTTCGCGGCTCGCGCTGGGCATCCTCGGGCACGCCAAGCCGCACTTGCCAGAAAAGTCGTTGCGGGGCACCTCCTCCGCCCGCTCTCGCTGGGCCATCTCGAAGGGCACGCCGTGCAGCCTCAGGGAGGGCGGGGTCCGTAGCAGAAGTCGCACTAGACAGCGGCATCGGAGCACAGCATTTCCGCAAACACCTCGCGCTGTGCCACCTCGAGCTCGAAGGGCACGCGGTGCAGCCTCACGTAAGGTAGGGCGCGCAGCCGAGGCGCACTTGCAAGCGAATCCGGAGCCGCGCATCACCTCTAGCAGCTCGCGCAGGGCCGTCACAACCGGCACGCCGTGCAGCATCAGGGTGGCCGGGGTGTTCAGCAGAAATCGCACATGCCTGTGAAACCGACGCGGTGCATCTCCCCCAGCATCTCGCACTTGCTCACCTAGACGGGCACGCGGTGCGCATCACGGAGGTCAGGGCACGCAACAGAGGCACACTTGCAAGCGAGACTGAAGCGGTACACCCCCTCTGGTCGCTCAGGATGCACCACCTCGAAGGGCACGCCGTGCAGCCTCAGGGAGGGCAGGGTCGGTGGCAGAAGTCGCACTTGCCCGCAAAACCTGGAGCAGTGCATCTCGAAGGGCACGCCGTGCAGCCCTGGGGAAGACAGGGAAACCGATCGGAAATTGTACGTGCCCGCAGCACGAGGACGCGCGGCGGGGGCAGGGAGGACGGGGCGGAGGAGGGGGGGAAGAGGAGGGAGAGGAACTGCATCTGCCACCCCTCCGGGGGCGCCACGCCCTCCGGTAGCGACACCACCGGCGTCATCCGCAGCAAGAAGTCGAGAGCGTGGAGGAGGAGGAGGAGGAGGAGGAGGAGGAGGAGGAGGAGGAGGCGGAGGGGAAGGAGGAGGAGGAGGAGGAGGAGGATTCAGGCTTGTGGGGCGTTTTGTGGAATCTTTTCGGTCCCCGTTCGGCTACACGCAAGAGAAATCCCATGAACGAATGGCCTCTGGTGCGAGGCTTGCCGATCATTGCACGCGATGCCACAGTAACGGCCCCCGTGCTTGGGTTGGCCTTCCTGCCCGTGCACCCCCCTGAAGCCGCGCAATCCAAAGGTCACTCCGGCGTAACTTGCCTATTGCATATTGAAGGGGCCTTGGGACACACAACTAAATACACACAAATAAACATATCCCCATATTTTCATATATTTTCTGGGTTTTCGTCTTCCCCCCCACTTCCCATATTTTCCCATATTTTTTGGGGAATCGACGATCAATCGTGTCTGTGTGTTTCTTTCCCTCCTGACATATGGCGGGCTCAAGAAGCCTCCAGAGGCCATCGAGAACCTTCCGGGGGCCTCCCCAGAGCTCCAGAGCTTCGTTTGCCGCCCACCAAATCGCCATTCAGGAAGACCGTGATGTTCCTACTGTTGGCGGGGATCTTCCGGGTAAACGGCCAGATGTCCGAGTCCTCGTTGACGGCGCCGTCGGCCCCGTCGACGACCTTGCCGTCGACGACCTTGCCGTCGACGACCTTGGCCAACCTTCGCGAGTCCACGGCGCCGAGCTTCCGCATCTCGGGACCGCCTGGGGGCCCCTCGCTGGGAGGAGGAGGAGGAGGAGAGAAGGGAGGAGCCCTCCCGAGGCCCAGAACGGGCCAAAGCCGTCCAAGGGCCTGGATTATGTCTCCTCCATCTCTCCTCCGTATCAATGACTCGCGATCGTCGCATCACCTGACGCGTTCGGTTGGGCTGTCGGGTTGCTTTGCGAAAAGCCCACTCGCCACTTAAGATCGGTCAGTTTAGCATGTCCCACAGCTCCAGGGATGGATGGCGCCCGCTTGCGCGCATCCGTCTCATGGGCTTTCACCAAGTGGCTGGAGGGCGCCCTGCTTTCGAAACATGGCTCGCGCCGTAGCGCCGCGCAGGTTCGCCTTCCAAATGTTCACTCAATAGCTGCACGGGTAGATGGCGGCTCCTTCTCAAAATTGAGACATCGCCCGATACTTTCTTCATGGCTCAGACCAGGAAGCCTGAGACAACTATACGACACGTATTGCACGGATGGAGGTATGTTCTCTTCGAATGGAGCTCTCGCTTGAGACTTCCCCAGTGCTTGCGATCAGGAAGTGTAAGACACAGTTGCGACAATTGCTGCAAGGATGGACGGCAGTTACTTCTTCTATGCAACTATCGTGCGAGACTTTCTCAGACTCAAGGCTTGTACGGCCCGAAGTGTTGAGCTGTGCAGCAGTCAGACGTGCTGAGGGCAAGTTGTTGCTTCTCCAACCATCCTGTGGTGTTGCGTCCTCGTTTTGAAGAGACAGCGCCCAGCGTTCCGTCCTTCCTCCTTCCTTCCTCCATCCTCCGTCCTTCCATCCTCCCTCCTCGCCCTCCTTTTCTCTGCCCTGATTCCTTCCTCCTTCTTTCCTTCCTTCCTGCCCCCCTCCTCCCGTCTCCCATTATCTGCCTCCTCCTCCCTCCTCCATCGTCATCATCATCAACAACATCATCGCCATCATCATCATCATCATCATCATCATCATCATCATCATCATCATCATCATCATCATCATCAGCATCATGAGCATCAGCATCATCATCATCATCATCATCATCATTATCATCATCATCATCATCATCAGCATCATCATCATGATCATCATCAACAACAACATTAACATCATAATCACCATCATCATCACCACCACCACCATCATCATCATCATCATTATCATCATCAACATCATCAACAACATCATCGTCATTGCGATCATCATCATCATCATCATCATCATCATCATCAGCATCATCATCACCATCGCCGTCATCATCACGATCATCGCCACGCGTTTCGGCACACCCAGTACATCGTTCCGTGGCCCCGTAGGGAGCTCCACCTAAGGCCCCAGTGGCGGTGTCCACATGCTTCCCCCCATCACCCAGCGCAGCGCTTCGTGGCCCCATAGGGAGCTCCGCCTCAGGCTCCAGTGGCGGTGTCCACATGCGTCCCCCCACCAAACACAGTGCTTCGTGGCCCAATAGGGAGCTCCGCGTAAGGCTCCAGTGGCAATGTTCACATGCGTCCCCCTCACCCAGCACGGTAACGGTCGCGGTAACGGTCACGTGAAGGTGACGGTAACGGTCGCGGTAACGGTCATAGTCGCAGTCGCGCTCCAGACTGTCGCAGCAACACTTCTGACCCGATGGCCCTGAGGCACTCTGCAACCCGCGCCAATACTTACTCGACAGACGTCGCCATGAACACGCAGCATGGTCTCAACGACCGCGCTCCCCCCCTTCCCCCCCCTCCTGCACCCACGCCCTCCCGACACCCCTCTCTTCCCACCCGGCCGAGAGCTGGGCATATCGAATCGCCCTCCGTCGCCACCATCACCATCGTCGTCCCTACCCCCGGGAACACGCATGCTGCACCCATCCGCCTTCTCGCACCCCGTGCGCCCCCGCAGACAGTCGGAGCGCAAGCCCACTCCCGACGTCGAGTACGGAGACGCACCCCCCTTTCGTGCGCGGCCCTCCCTGCGACCAGGACGTTCCCCGACGAACCGACTCCGTCGGGCCGCGCCCTCCGCTCTAGGGTCTGCCCGCCCGATCTGCCCGCCCGTTGAGGTCCGCCGGCCCTCCCCGCCCGTTCGGGTGCGACATCCTGCAGGCTGGGTGGGCCCCCAAAATGACTGCCCCGCCCGATCCAGCCCGCCGATCCGCCCGTCAGGGTGAACTCCTGCTCGAGGGCTCACTGCCTTGAGCGCCCCGCCTGGCCGCCCCACCCGACACACCTGCCCGGCAGGGCCCGGCTTCCCGATCCGCCCGATCCGACCCGCCAGCCCATGACAGGGAAACGAACTCTATACACCGACGTTTTCCCCGCCCCTGCGCTGAAATTCGCACCAGAACGCGGATTCTGGTGTACACGGGATCCTGGTGTATACATGTTTTGCGTTGTTTCCATTGGACAACGGAGGACACATATACACCATACCACGCCGACGTCGTCCCCGATCCTTAAAAAGTCGTGGGATTGAAAATGATCCCAGTGCGACCCTACCTAGGAGTTGGAGCCTCTAGGAAAGCAACATTCGTGGGAGCGGTAAACGCCGTCCTCCTCCTTCTCCTCATCGTCGTAGTTGTAGCAGTAGCGGTAGTAGTAGTAGTAGTAGTAGTAGTAGTAGTAGTAGTAGTAGTAGTACTAGTAGTAGTGGTAGTAGTAGTAGTAGTAGTAGTAGTAGTAGTAGTAGTAGTCGCCGAAGTAGTAGTAGTTGTAGTAGTAGTATAGTAGTAGTAGTAGTAGTAGTAGTAGTAGTAGTAGTAGTAGTAGTAGTAGTAGTAATAATAGTAGTAGTAGTAGTAGTAGTGGTGGTAGTAGTAGTAATAATAGTAGTAGTAGTAGTAGTAGTACTAGTAGTAGTAGTACAAGTAGTTGTAGTAGTAGTAGTAGTAGTAGTAGTAGTAGTCGTAGTCGTAGTCGTAGTCGTAGTCGTAGTAAGAGTAAGAGTAAGAGTAGTAGTAGTAGTAGTAGTAGTAGTAGTAGTAGTCGTAGTCGTAGTAGTAGTAGTAGTAGTAGTAGTAGTAGCAGTAGTAGTAGTAGTAGTAGTAGTAGTAGTAGTAGTCGTAGTAGTAGTAGTAGTAGTAGCGCCAGACCCGCCGACGCCACGCCGTAAGTGAAGCAGCAGCGGAAGCAGGCAGCAAGTCGCCGAGACAGCAGCAAAAGCAAGCAGGCACGGAGATGGGGGCGGGGCGCTGGGGAGTTCTTTACATCTACATCTATATCTACACCTACATCTACATCGACACCTACATCTACATCTAAACCTACATCTACATCTACACCTACAGCTACATCTACACCTGCATCTACATCTACATCAACAGCGAGAGTCACATCTACATCTACATGCTCTGCTATGCTATGCTATGCTATGCTATGCTATGCTATGCTGTGCTGCGCAATGCTATGCTGGGCCAGGCTAGGCTAGACTAGGCTATGCTATGCTGTGCTGCGCTATGCTATGCTGCGCTATGCTATGCTATGCTATGCTATGCTTTTGCGTTGCCTTTGCTTTTGCCTTCACTTTTGCCTTTGCTTTTGCTTTTGCTTGGCACCCAGGGAGCGCAACTGGGGGAACCGCGCGTTTGCTTTTACCTTTGATGTTGCTTTTGCTTGGCTCCCAAGGAACCGGGGGAACCGCCCGGGGCGGGTTCCACTGCCCGGCCCCCTTAAGCAAAGAAAGTAAGAACCCTTCTAGGCAGAGCCTAGGTAGGGAACAACCCGCCACTGGCGATGTATATGTTCCAGTTTGCGACATGAGGGTCCGCCCGCCAGGCCCGCCAAACAGGGTGAAACGGCCTGCTCGAGAAGGCACAAACTTCCATGCCCCGCCCACCCCGGCCCGCCCGCCCGAGCCTTCCGACCCGACCCACCCGCCCGCGCCCCTCAGTCCGCCCGCCCGCCCGCCAGGGTGGAACGTCCAGCTCGATGGATCTCAAGCGTTCCTTCCCAGCCCGCCCCGGCGCGCCCGCCCGACAGGGCCCCTCCGCCCGATCCGCCCGACCCGATCCTTCCGCCCACCTGTGAGGGACCGCCCGCCCGGCCTGCCCGTCAGGGTGAAGCGATCGTGCACGATGGGCACCACACTTTCACGTCTCGTCTGGCCCGGCTCGCCTGCTGGGGCCCGCCCGCCCGATCGACCCGAGAGGCAAGTAGGAGGCGCAGAGACCTTCGTGGATCTTTCGCTTTGGGGGCCGCGGCTTCAGGGGCTCTTGGGACCTGCGCTGTGGGCAACCCACATGTATCCAGCATTCGGCCCTGCTTCCGGATACTTTGGCAGCCTGGCGCCCCCATCGGCCTGCGTTTCCCTCATGCCCCGTCGCACTGCTTGCAAGTATCGCCATCGGGGTTCTCTTGAGATTACGCTTCGCCTCCTGTCGCATCCGCAGCTACTTGGAGATCATGTCACGCGCGACCCCGTCATGCCACAGGAGCGGTCACGGTCACGGTCGCGGTCATGGTCACATTATTGACCGATCTCGCTAATAACACTCCGCGCGGACGTGGTTACGGTCACGGTCGCAGTCGCAGACGTGGCTACGATCACGTTTCACACTCGCCCAAGAGAGCCCAAAAGCCCTCTCAAATGCATCCCGGGTCCTCGAGAAAAACCCCCAAGAGATCCCTAGAAGCCCCCCAACGGGCCTCTTGTGCACGACCCAGGCGCGGTGGCGAACTTGGTCGCAGGCCGCGAAACAATGATTTGCTGGAGCTCCTGGGGCTGGCGAGAGCCTCCTGGAGCCGAGAGTGGCAGCAAAACTCCCGTCGTGACTCTTTCACGTCGCGGCGCGACTGAGGGGCAACGAGAGGGGGAGGGGAGGACACACATCGACCTGGAATCGGAGATACATACGTCGCCGATGCATCGGCGATAGGCCTCCGATAGTGAATCCGCACCTTCCTGGGCAGGCTGGGGCTATCGGGCCCCTATCGGCGATCAATGGGCGATTGGGGGTCGATGCATCCCCCCCTATGCTAATGATGCTCCAACCTACTTTAGCCTTGATCACCAGGAAGAATTTCGAGCGCCCCCAAAAAAGTACCGCAACTCAAGGGTTTTCACGTGCCGGGCCCTGGGAGACACTCGCCCAACACTGTCTCGACACTGTTTCGACACTCTCTTGACACTTCCCTGGGTGCTCGAAACTCGTTCTGGGATGCGGCCCTGAAGTAGGACGGGGACAACATAAGCCCATGCCTGTCCCCCCCCTCGGCAGTGGACAAACCTCCCTTTAGTAGACCTCCCCTTAATGCAAACGGCCTGGGACCGAAACCGACGGGCCTAAACAACGAAACGGAACAGCCCAAAACCAAGACGTAGAACAGCTCTGGGATAGGTTTTTGCGTCGGGTGCTGTTTTTCGACCCCTCCTGGAAGGTCAGGGTCGTTGCTCCCGAGCGACAGGGAGTCTCGGGTCGGGCGAAAGGGGGGGATAGCAAAGGGGGGGTTTGAGAATCAGCTCACGTAGCTGATTTTCCCGGCGCCTCCCGGCGCCGGAGGCGCCCATGTATCGAGGAATGGGCCCCTCGGTGAGGCCGAAACCAGCTGCATGCAGCAAATTTCGTACCCCCCCCTTTCCCAATCCCCCCCTTTCGCCCGACCCGAGAGTCCGGGGTCGGGCCCCGGCCCGCGGACCCGTCGCACACGGGGGCCCTGCCCCGGCCGCGGCTCCGAGACGGGCACCCCGCCGTGCGGGCGCTCTCGGGCGCGCCGGGGCAGGGGCGCCCGAGGGCGCCCGCAGACCTCGCCCTTTGGACGCCCGGCTCCCTGACCTTCCAGGAGGGCTAAAACATAGCACCCGACGCGAAAACCTATCCCAGAGCTATTCTACGTCTTGGTTTTAGGCTGTTTCGTTTCGTTGTTAGGTTTTCAGGTTTCCAGTGCTAAAGAAATAGCTCTCTGGAAGGTCAGGGAAATGGGCACGGAAAGTCTTCGGAAAGAGCCTCGAGGAGCCAGGACAGTGGGGGACTGGCTCTGGGGGGGGGGAGCATCGACCTGGAGTCGGCGACACGTCCTCGGTGGATCGGCGACAGGTTTGGACGCCCGAAATGGGTACGGAAAAAATGGGTATACAATGCCCCACAACAAATGTTGTCCCAAACCAACAGCGGCCGCTGTTGGGTAGGCGGCCTTCTGTCTCCAATGGGCACAGGCCGCGGCGGCGTGGACCGCGAGTCCTGTTCAGAATGAACAGGAGCTGCTGGTGGGCATTGTGCCCCTTCTTTCCGTGCCCATTCTGTTCGTGCAGATCGCCCTTCGAACCTCGATGCTCTGGAGGCCGCCCCCCTGGGGTCCGAGCAACTAGGATTTAAGACGGGCGCGCCCCCCTACAGGGGGCTTTTCGACGAAAAATAAAAAAGACTACTTTTGAATACTCCCCCTGTAGAGGGACAGGCCCGACTTAAAACAAGGTGGGGTCGGAGGATCGAGGCGCGTCGCGGATGCATCGCCGATGCATCGGCGACGTCGGCCGCGCATCGGCGGCGTCGCCGTGGAGAAAGGCGGCGATGCGTTGGCGATGCGGCGCGGTCCACCGTCGAGCCCGTCTGCTTCGACCACCGGCTGGGCGGCCTGGATTAAGGCGCCGAACTCTCCACACCGACGCATTTTCCGGCCCCGCACCGAAATTCGCACGGGAAAGCGGATCCGGTGTATACGGGATCCTGGTGTATACATGTTTCGTCGTTTCACCGGGAAAACGGGGGAAACAGTATACACCACCACACCACCCCGACGTCGTCCCCGACATTTACGAAGCCCTGGGATTGAAGAACAGCCCGCCACTGGCAATGTATGTGCTCCAGTTTCCGATGCATCATCGATCCTCGATCCTCGATGCTCGAGAAGAGGAAGAGGAGCACGAGGAGGAGGAGGAGGAGGAGCAGGAGGAGGAGCAGGAGGAGGAGCGGAGAAGGAGGAGCAGGAGGAGGAGCACGAGGAGGAGGTGCAGGAGGAGATGCAGCAGGAGGAGCAGGAGGAGGAGGAGGCGGGGGATGAGCAATAGGAGGAGGAGGAGGAGGAGGAGGAGGAGGAGGAGGAGGAGGAGGAGGAGGAGGAGGAGGAGGAGGAGCAGGAGCAGGAGGAGGAGCAGGAGGCGGAGGAGGAGCAGGAGGCGGAGGAGGCGGAGGAGGAGCAGGAGGAGGAGCAGGAGGCCGAGGAGGAGCAGGAGGGTGATGGAGGCCCGGTCGAGCCGTCGGCGCTGTCGGGCTCGGCGCCGGTCGGGGCCAGCCCGAGGGCGCCCGTCGCGTACAGCGAGAGGGCCACGGCCGCGGCCTGGAGCCGGGCTGTCGTGCGTCGTCCCTTTGCGCGTCCGTCGTGCCCGTCGTCGTCGTCGTCGTCGTCGTCGTCGTCGTCGTCGTCGTCGTCGTCGTCGTCGTCGTGGGTCGTCGTGGGTCGTCGTTGTCGTCGTCGTCGTGGGTCGTGGGTGGTCGTGGGTCGTCCGTCGTAATCGTCGTCGTCCTCCTCCTCCTCCTCCTGCAACTCCTCCTCCTCCTCCTCCTCCTCCTGCACCTCTCACTCCTCCTCCTCCTCCTCCTCCTCCTCCACCTCCTCCACCGTCCTCGTCTGTCCTCCTCTGTCCGCATCTATCCTCCTAAGTCCTCCCCCGTATGCCTCTCTTGCTCCCCCACTCCTGCTGCCACCTCCCGCTATCCTCCTCCTGCTTATTCATCCGCCTCCTCCTCCTTCCAACTCCTTCCCTTTCCTACTCCTCCTCCTCCTCCTCCTCCTCCTCCTCCTCCGCCTCCTCCCCCTCCCCCTCCCTCTTCGTTCTCCCTCCTTGCCGTCGTCGTTGTCGTCCTCCTCCTCCTCCTCCTCGTCGCCTGAAGCCAGGCCATCGCTATGGTGTAGTAGTGCTCAGAGTCGCTGGTCGCCTCGGGCCTCACTGGGCGTTTAAGGGAAGGTAGATGTTGACGTCCCCAGATTGGGACGCTTGCAGCCAAAATGGCTGTTGCACGAATGGACGCGAGGGGAGGAGGTCTCGGGAAACTTTTGAAGCCCATCGGAGGCTTTGCACGAATGGTTTCGGAGGGGGGGGGGCAGGAGGAATGAGGAGGAGGGGGATACGAGGGCGGGGGAGGAGGGGGAGGAGGAGGAGGCGCAAAGGAGGAGGAGGAGGAGGAGGAGGTGGAGGGGAAAGGAGGAGGGACGAGGTCTCCTCCTGCTGTGCTGGAGCCACCAGGCCCTATCACCTGGGATCGGCGACGGCGGCCACGCGCGCACTTCTGCATCCGCGGGGCACAACGCGGGCCGCCCGCACGCAAGAGCAGGCACCCGAAACCCGAACAACGTAACTAGAGACTAGATCTGCGAGGTCGATCGAGCACGGCACGAGACAACGGCCACTGGGCGCTCTCGCCGCGCCGGCGCCATTACGACAGGGCCCTTCGTAATTCTGGGCTCGAGCAAGCTTGGCCAGCGAGTTCACACCGAGGGTCGGCAAAGTCCTCGGCGAGCCTGCTTTCATCCTGTGTCACGTACTCTCACTGGATGCAGCAGGAGAAAAGCACTGATCGTTGATCGTTGTGATCGTTGTCGGCGCGGCGGCCGCGGCGGGAGCAACCAACGGCGAGGAGGAGGAGGGGGAAGGGGGGAGAGGGAGGAGGGACGGGGATGAATCGAGAGGGGACGTCGGAGGAGAGGGCTCCCTTCCCACCTCGGCCTTCCCGCCGTGTCGCCGCGCGTGCGCCTCCCAGGACTAACTCCCGAGCCCAGTCGGCGCCCGAGCCTGCTCGGCTGCCGAGCCGACGCTGGCTCCAGCCTTACGTCGGGCGTGTCCCCCTACAGGGGGGATGTTCGACGAACAAATAGAAGTAACCCAAAAAATTACCCCAAAAAGGTGAAAGAGTACTCCAAAAATACCCCCCCCCGACTATTTTTGGCGCATCTCTTCTTTTTTTTTTTTTTTTTGTTTTTTTTGTTTTCATTTTTCGTCGAACATCCCCCTGGTAAGGGGGGACCGGCCCGACTTAAACCTCCGGCCCCCTCCGCTGCCGTGCGGGCCAGATCCCGCCGGTCCCCTTCCCTCCGCGCGCCGATCGCGCCCCCCGGGAGGCGCGGCCATCTCTTCGCGCCCTCGCGCCGCCGCCCAGGGAGTAAAGGGCGCCTCTCCCGCCCGCGCGGCGAGTGCTCAAGTCGGGCCTGTCCCCCTACCCAGGGGGATCTCCGACGAGACATAAGAAATACCCCAAAAATAATCCAAAGATGCTCCAAACATAGTCGGGGGACTATTTCTGAGTATTCTTTAACCTTTTTTGGGGCAATCCCACCAGCCCTCTGGGCGTAGGTGGTTCCGCGAGTTTCCTCGTCAATCTTCCCTTCTTCCCCTTCGGGGAGGGGTTTACCCCTCCCCCTAACACCCTCCCCTGGACCTGGACGGGGGGTTTCGCTGGTAGTTGGAGCGTCCAAAACGGCCTCGGCGAGGAAGCCAAAATCATCGGTTTTACTAGTGTTTTGGCCGATTTTAGAGGCTCCCGAGGGGGGACGCTAATTGGGGGACCCCCTTCCTTTGATCGATCACCTCCAAGATGGCCCCAAGAGCGCTCCCAAGGCTCCCAAGAGCGCCCCAAGAGGGCCTCAAGAGGCGCCCAGGAGGCCCCAAGAGGTCCCCAAGAGGCCCTCAAGAGGCTCCCTAGACCCCCAAGAGGCCTCAAGAGGATCCCCGAGGCATCCAAGAATCCCCCAGGCGCTCCAAGAGGACTCCAAAACAACTTCCAAGGGACATCCTAGGAGGCTCTTGTGCACGTCATTGTTCTTGTTCCTTCTCATCTTTCTCATCCTCCTCCTCCTCCTCCTCCTCCTCCTCCTCCTCCTTGTCGGCCTACTCCTCCTCCTTCTCCTCCACTTTATCAGCCTCATCCTCCTCCTTTCCTCTTCTCTTCCTCCCCCTCCTCATCCTCCTCCTCCCCCTCCTCCTCATCATCCGCCTATTCCCCCTCCTCCCTCCTCCCTCCTCCCACTTTTCCCACCTGCTGCCCCTCCTCCCCCTCCTCCTCCTCCTCATCCTCCTCCGACTCCTCCTCCATCCTCGCCCTCTTGGGTAAGACGGATCCCCCAGCCCTTTGCTACTCTGTATGCTCCCTCCCTTCCCTGATCACCGCAATTCGCCTGGGCATCGTTTTTGGATGGGCTGGTGGGGATACGCGCAGCGTCAAGAATTTTTCGGGTACTTTTAATTATTCGTCGAACATCCCCCTGTAGGGGGACACGCCCGACTTAAGGCGAGGCGCGGAGCGAGATCATCTTCGGCTCGTTCCGATTCTTCTTCTCCGAGTGGAAGGATGCGCGTGCTCTTCTCCTCCCGGCCGACGGCCTGGTCTTGTCCAGAAAATGACAGGGCATTCTAGAACGGGTGGCGGCCCTGGAACGCTCCCAGGGCGTTCCGGAACGCCGTAGCGATCTCCCATCGTCTTGGTTACGCATGCCTGCTCAGTACAGTGGGGGCCCGACCACAAGAGACCTGCCACAAGAAACCCCACCCTGAGAGCCCAGGGCGTCCATCGATTTTTGGTGTGGGAACGTCGCGCTGACCATCGCAAAACCATCGAGACCCAAGAAACCCAGGGCACCCTAGAGGCAAGCAGGGTGTTTCTTGGCATGGGTCTCCACTGTAGCTGACTCTCCCGGCGCACCCCTGCGCCAGAGGCGCCACGAGAGCCGTTCCTAGCGGCTGCGACAGAGCGGGCTGCTCGCACCAGATGTCGTACGCACCCTTTCCGAATGACAACACCGGCTGCGTGCACTAGATTTCGCATCCACCCCTTCCAAATGAGGGGCAACAATATGGGGGGAATTGGTCGGGAGGGGGGGAACATCTACCTGGATTCGGCGATCTTTATATATATACACATACATACGGATATATGTGCACATGCGAGACACACATACATACAATCATACATACATGCATGCATACATGCAAACATGGACACACATACATTACCCTGGCGACGTACCCAACCCCTGCGCAAAAGCGGGGCGCAAATAGTTTAGGATACTTTATAAGGGGGCGATGACGGAGCGAGGGTTACATATGTCTGCAGACGGAATTCGGGAGACTCGCAGGACACTGGCTACAGGAAAAGGGCTTGATAAAGCTGATGATTTACAATTCCTGAGCACTCCTAGCCACTTCGAAAACGGGGATCACAGCAGGCCTCGAAAGTGGCGACAGGTTCACAGATCGCAGCCCCGCAGGGATGGCGAGGTCTCATTTGAATCTGCCCGTGGCCCTCACTGTGCTGGGCCCCCCAGCAGGCCTCGAAAATGGCGGCAGTTTCGCAGATCGCAGCCCCCCAGGGATGGCGAGGTCTAATTTGAATCCGCGCGTGGCCCTCACTGTGCTGGGCCCCCCAGCAGGCCTCGAAAATGGCGACAGTTTCGCAGATCGCAGCCCCCCAGGGATGGCGAGGTCTAATTTGAATCCGCGCGTGGCCCTCACTGTGCTGGGCCCCCCAGCAGGCCTCGAAAATGGCGACAGTTTCGCAGATCGCAGCCCCCCAGGGATGGCGAGGTCTAATTTGAATCCGCGCGTGGCCCTCACTGTGCTGGGCCCCCCAGCAGGCCTCGAAAATGGCGACAGTTTCGCAGATCGCAGCCCCCCAGGGATGGCGAGGTCTAATTTGAATCCGCGCGTGGCCCTCACTGTGCTGGGCCCCCCAGCAGGCCTCGAAAATGGCGACAGTTTCGCAGATCGCAGCCCCCCAGGGATGGCGAGGTCTAATTTGAATCCGCGCGTGGCCCTCACTGTGCTGGGCCCCCCAGCAGGCCTCGAAAATGGCGACAGTTTCGCAGATCGCAGCCCCCCAGGGATGGCGAGGTCTAATTTGAATCCGCGCGTGGCCCTCACTGTGCTGGGCCCCCCAGCAGGCCTCGAAAATGGCGACAGTTTCGCAGATCGCAGCCCCCCAGGGATGGCGAGGTCTAATTTGAATCCGCGCGTGGCCCTCACTGTGCTGGGCCCCCAGCAGGCCTCGAAAATGGCGACAGTTTCGCAGATCGCAGCCCCCCAGGGATGGCGAGGTCTAATTTGAATCTGCCCGTGGCCCTCACTGTGCTGGGCCCCCCAGCAGGCCTCGAAAATGGCGACAGTTTCGCAGATCGCAGCCCCCCAGGGATGGCGAGGTCTAATTTGAATCCGCCCGTGGCCCTCACTGTGCTGGGCCCCCCAGCAGGCCTCGAAAATGGCGACAGTTTCGCAGATCGCAGCCCCCCAGGGATGGCGAGGTCTAATTTGAATCCGCGCGTGGCCCTCACTGTGCTGGGCCCCCCAGCAGGCCTCGAAAATGGCGACAGTTTCGCAGATCGCAGCCCCCCAGGGATGGCGAGGTCTAATTTGAATCTGCCCGTGGCCCTCACTGTGCTGGGCCCCCCAGCAGGCCTCGAAAATGGCGACAGTTTCGCAGATCGCAGCCCCCCGCAGGCAAGACAGGAAGAGGCGGGAGGGAAAAAGGAGGAAGGGAGGGAGGAGGGACGCGACCACACTGCTCTGTTCAAAACGAATACCCAACCAAGGAGGGTTGGGAATTATATAAACATACAAACATGCATACATGCATACATGCATACATGCATACATGCATACATGCATACATGCATACATGCATACATGCATTCATGCATTCATGCATACATACATACATGCATACATGCATACATGCATACATGCATACATGCATACATGCATACATGCATACATGCATACATGCATACATGCATACATACATACATACATACATACACACATACATACACACATACGCACATACACACACATTCACACATGCATACATACATGCATACATACATGCATGCATACATACATACATACAAACATACACACATACATACTCACTTACTTACATACATACGCGAGAACGCGTTTCACAGGTGCTCGCCTTGGGAACATTTGCCCCCCCCCCCCCCTCGCGCTGGCGCCGGCGCTGGCGGCGGCCAGCAGCGCCGGCGCTGG